AATACTTTGATGATCCTGGTTGCATGAGTTTTCCATCCTATCAGTGCATTTGTGGTTGCTTGGAGAGCAATACTGCAACTCTGTGTGTATGCTGAAAATTTTCTTCTTCATTACCAGAGTATAACAACAAATCTTCTGAAGCTCGTCTCTGCTGTCCTGTGTCCAATATGTTTCACTGATTGCAAGCACCTCCAGTCAGTCAGTCAGTCAGTAAGTCAGTCATTATCAACATAGAACTTCGTACGTGAGTACATAAATTCATGTTGCCATACCGAATCAGCACAGACAGGCAACTCTCAGTTCAAATGCAATAGTGGTAGCGATAGTAGGAGTATTAGCAGTAATGGAGAAGATTAGGGTTCGAAGATATGATTCGAGAAGTATAATTCAGTGAGATGACTATAGAAAAAGAAAGATAGCGATGATGAAGAATTCAGTAGGTTAGAATTTGTGAGAACACAATGAATGAATGCACTTGCACCATTGCAAACGGTTTTGAGCCATGTCGGTCAAGGTGTCTGACCATCGGAGACTTTCGTATCGAGCACCCCAACCAAGTAGCCTACATCTACCAACATGACTCAGTCCACTTGTCAATGACTTCATGGATTTGTGCCATGTTTTGGTTTGACTGCCCCTAGCTTTCTCCCAACCTAATCCTACACCACAAAACACAGCTCGATGAGGCAGTCATTAGTTGGGCATACGGATAATACGTTCCAAACACCTCAAATGATGAAGTTTCAATACTTCATCAGTTGATCTGCCATCCCTAACTAGTACTTGTTTCTGAACTATAGTATTGCATTTGTCACCATCTTCACCGAATATAACTATGTCATCAGTATATTCTAAATCACCAAGCGTGTCACGCGGTACAATTTTTACTCCTGAAGAGTCAGACAATGATATTATTAACTCTAGAAGCATATTTACGACAAAGGTAAACAAGAATGGAGAAAGTAGACAGCCCTGACGGACACCACTTAAGGTAAAGAATTCCGATGACAGTTCATCATAAGCTGACACTGGACCAAAGATGTTCGTGTAGAGAGTCTGTACATCTTTGGTATACCTTTTAATGACAGACACTGTCACAGAACATAACGATCAACAAAGTCGAATGCCACTTTAGGATCGAGAGATTCTACTATTGTGAATAGTGTGAACGTGTGTCTTTGTTCTAGGACCTGGAGTAGTGTGAATATTTGGTCTGTACATCCACATCCAGGTCTGAAATAAGCCTGATTTTCTCTAGTCTGATCTTCACGAGCTTTTGTTAAGCGTCGGAGTATTAATGAGGCCAATATTTTCAATAATATATTAGTTGGACTGATTGCCCTGTGACCGTCGATAAAAGGACTTTTGTCCTTTCTTAAAAGTTGAGACAATCAGTGATTGAGACCAGTGGGTTTGGATTACGTCCAGTTCGCAAATTCTGCCTAATATCTCAGTCAATATAACTGTTAAAACTGGATCACCAAACTTAAAAATCTCAGGTGTCAATCTATTAGAGCCCAAAAGTCCTCTATCGAACCCCTTAATCGGTGGCTGATGGCGATGTGATCTAGTTGGGTCGAACGCTGAGACGACCTTGTGTGTCGCCAGTTCAAGAGATGTTATCCTTTATGCCTAAAGATAGTGCTGGCTGTGAATTGGCGGTTATCTGAGCACAGTTGAAGCAGATGGTCACCATTATCTGTTCGATTAGCTGCGACAAAATTAGGTCCACCCGATTGTCCTTCCATCTTCACTTAGTCTACCTACCTGAAAATTAAAGTCTCCAGTCATTATTACTATGTCAGTGTAGGATATAATTTGTCCTACAGATGTACTTCTACAACTGTATACGCAATATTGGCGAGCACAGAGTCTGTGTGAAAGCTATAGTCAAACACAAGACCAATTTGGTTTTAAACTTTATTTAATTTGACCAATAGAACGTGTCTTATGGAAATGAATGAAGTTATGAGTCATATCAATATAATAAGATAATAATGTCCGTCAATTAGTAGGTGATTTGCAACAAAGAGAGTTTACAGACACGTCAGATCAGATCACTTAGTGGGTGCTTAAACCATAATTTGATTGGTTATTTATGACATTACTACAATTAGTTATGGGAATGACTAACAATCAGAGCGCCTAGCTTTTTGGAGGAGATCCGAAAGCTTTCTTTAGAACTCGTCTTTTAACTCGTCTGAACCGCAATCAGTGTGAACGTAGACAGATACGATGAAGGGGGAACGACGGGTGTCCCTATCTTTCCGAGTCGTTACTGTTCCGTTCAGTCGGACGGTGCACAAACGACTATCTACAGGGATCCAGTCAAAGTCAGCTAGTTCTGCCCTACGACTCAATGTTATACGTACACCAGCGAGACTCAGGGAAGCAGCATCAAGACTTACATATACACGTAGAGTAAATCGAGCTGCCTCTTTGTTTTGATAGGGTGAAATCAAAATGATGATTTCACTAGGATCTTGTGTGCGCGTTTACAAGACGCAGCATACATCGGTAGCACGAGATTCTAATGTATTAGCTAAGCAATCCTGTTGCCCTATTTGACACAATGTCCATACATTAAATGCTCCAACATGTAATTTAGAACGAGGTTTCAGGAGACCAGGAATGAGTAGCTGCTTCTAGTCTCATCGTTCTCCAGTTGACTTGCCTGGAATAGTAGAACCTTCAGGAACATATGTTTCAGCCAGTATAGCTCGGTTGAGTCCTCACAATAGACAAGCACGTCAAGGTAGCATCTGCAGTCGTGCCAAGCACCTCCAAGATTTATCTTCTCATTTCTGCTGTATTTTGAATAGTTCTCTTGATCTCACTCAATGTACGAACATTTCATGTACTTATAATAATGGTTTCCCTGGTTTTGTAAAAAGAAATCGTTCTCGTGATTTCCTAAGAAGCTCGCCTTCGTCAAGAGATCTCATAACTCGTCTGAATGAAAACCTTATAACTTCCAGAGCAGTGTTTCAATCGTTTGATTTATATTTTCAGCTCAAAGTATTTTTAGCTAGCTCACCCCTCCTCATTTATCTAAGTATGGGACCAGTGGTTACCCTAGAAAGTCTTCGAGAAACTAAGAGGAGAGTGAGATGTATGGTAAACACATAGAGAATAATAAACTAGATAACTCATTTATGCAAAAGTAGTTAATGCATCAGAACCAATTCAACATGCTGACTGATGACCATGTTCAAAGTGATTGATTCTGAATAGTGAAAATAATCTACTCATAATGACTAATTTTTGAATGACTACAGTCCAAATGCATGTGAAAGGCAAGTATGTTGAAATATATTATCACTGTAACAGTTTGATAGTGTCGAATAAATCAGTTATGATTAGATAGAGTTTATCCACAAAATTCATTTACAATTCAGTCCATGAGGTCACAAACGACATCATCATGTAATAGGAAACTCTTTGATAATTCACTGTAGAAAATGCAGATAAATAACTGGTAAACGTGTGAGCAACAGAATCACTGAAATCCAATCATTTCATCCTCAAATTCTAATTCATTTTTATCTTAACTCACCTTGGTGAAATAAGCCATTGTGTACTGTATTTTATCGAATTTCATGTTAATGCATACCTGAACAAAGTAGAAAATATTTCGGTAACACACAAACACGCACCTAAAAATAGTAACTCAATCAGCTTTCTCAATTGTGTTTCATATGACTAATTTCGAAAAACAATCTATTCGATATCAGAAATCTGTTTTTTTTTTCAAATATATTATTATTATTATTATTATTATTATTATTATTATTATTATGAAATATCATGAAATAAGATATACAAAAGATTGAGATTTCGTAGTTATTAACGAAAAACATTAAATTTTTTCACACTTCTGAACATGTAAAGAGTAGGTTGTGAAGCTGCAGAAAAGTCTGGATGCATTTGGGAGAACTGTATTGTCTGTTTCCGATTATTTCTGATCATTAATGAAAAAACAAATGAGCGTAATCAATGTGATAAGTAGTATTTGATGGGTTACACGAGTTTGTACACTTTCATTGCAAAAGTCTTTTTCACAACAGTAATAAGAGAGCTGGCGATACCTTTTGATGAAATAATAAAAGCTACATTCTTGAAGACATTCTTTGATAGGGTTATGTTGGCCTGCAACATTAAGCTTCTACATGCAGTAAAAGATAGCAAAATTAAGATAGAAGATATAGAAGTGTAGATCAATAAAATAATTGATAAGCTTGTCTTACAATTACAAGTGAATTTATCTTGTCAGTAGCTGATTATATACGGCCTTCATTTTTTTCCCAGTGTTTTGGTTTCATTTATTATTTCTAAAAGGCTTAATTTTAATGTACTCACTCGCTACATTCTGATAACAGTACAGTACATCTTATATTATCAGTCAAATCAGACTTACATCATTATGTCCATTACAAGAAAATAAAGTCAAGTCAGTTTACAACTTTCGGTGTTTACTATTATTTAGAATTGTAAATCTTATACATAGTTGTATGAAATAATCCATCCTTGAAATATGGACCAACCTCCAGTTATAACACAGAAAACCGATGAAAACCAGTGTGAGCTAAATGGTTGCTTATATGTGGTAGTGAAAATTGGAATTTGAATGCAGAGAAACGTTGAAAGAGTTTGAGACCAGATGGAGCACATATATAATATGAGAAGATACAGTTTTCTTAAAAAATTATGTACTCAGGACTCAATAGAGCTGCAATTCACATTCCTCAAGAAACAGGTGTTTAGTTGCATTATCACAGTAGTGATATTATTAAGTTAAATCATTATGAGTGATTTACTACTACACAAATTGAACCACTCTTTCAGGCCATGAGATTCAAGATGAAATTCTTTCTAAGAAGGTAGTATTTTCTACATTAAAACCCATAAATGAATTATTCACTTTACTTACAGCACACCATCTACAGCCACTTTGGATTTTTACTTCTGGAGATAAGGCGTCAAATGGGACTGGACAGTTTTCACAAGTGTAACAAGTTACAGATAAACCTTGAACGAAAAGAAATTAAAGAAACAACAATGACAAAGTCATTATTCTGTCCAGATCATCCGAGCAATCGATACTAAGCATGATATCACGATGATTTGTAGGAATGTTTATATATTTATATATATGTTATGGTAATTCATAAGATTGCTAATCACTCATATCAATAATTATCTGCTAAAAAGGAGAACATATGTGTTCATTCCTACAGTTTAAAATTCAAGCTACCAGTGTAATGAATAAAAACTTACAGAGCTAATGAAATGGGAGTGTACGAAAGCCATCATACAGAAGATAAAAATATTCATTAGCAGTTACCTTCAGAAAATACGTTGGCCAGGAACCATCAGCGACAACGTACTGTGTGAGAGAACAAACCAGATTACAGTGTAGGAGGAAATCAGGTAGAAGCGGTGGAAGTGGGTAGGACACGCACTGTGAAAAGCAATAATTTGCGTCACAAGACAAGCCCTCATTTAGAATCCTCAAGTTAAAATGAAAAGAAGAATGCCAAGGAACCTATTACGCAAAGAAATGGAGACAGACATGGGAAGAGTGAGGAACAGCTGGATAGAACTAGGATGAAAGGCTCAGGATAGAGTAGGTTAGATGAAGCTGACCATCGGCCTATGCTTCATTGGGGGTAACAAGCCTAAGTAACTAGGTAAGTGCAAACTTACTACCTACTAATGATAAAACTTTTGTTATCGTATTTTATTTTTCTTACTACTATCAGTTCACCTGTCTTCCTATTATTTTTATTTCACGAATATGTGAGTTCCTTCAAACGATAGAGAAATTTGCAATGGAAATCTAAACAATTGTGAAAATAACAGAATGTTTGATGTTTCACCCATGATTTATATGTATTACGCATCACGGATGTTTGTTGTTCACGATGAATGAAAAATCTGATGGACTACTGATTATAGCCTATTCAAGTTCAGTAGTTCTTGTAAGACAAACTCTTAGTAATAAATAACACTACAAACTATTGAATAATTGAAATCATTGGACAAATTTAAATTTAGACCTGTTTGTATTATTTTGAACAGAAACATGATGAAAAGGAACATTAAAAAAATGATCTTACTGTAGTTTATATTGATCATGATCAATGAGATCACCATGAAGATCTGTGGAATGTACTCCATAGTTATAGAAATATAAATAAACTTCGACTGATGGGATTCAAATACAAACAGTCGCAGTATTCACCTACAGTATTCTTGTCAACATTATATAAGACACGTGTTGTCGTTAAAGCCAAAAGTACAATTCGTGAATTCACTAATTGAAAAAAAAAATTAAAATGCTTATTGGTGCTTGTAAAATGTACTACAGTGAAACTAGACATGTAATGTTGTCTATATAAATATCGATCATAAGATGACACTTCTTGAGAAATATAAAGTAACAATGCAAGTTATTTGGATTTATCGAGGTTTTGCTGGTTGTTGATTATTTGTTCACACCAAGTGATGTTAAATTTTCATGTGAGATGAAAATACATTTTCTTAACTACTTTATATATCATGCAGAGACAGCGACATGAAATGACGTAGGTGAATATTTGTGTTTTTACTTAGTTTCCAAATGTTGAGTAATGCGCTTCATCAAGAAATGTAAGATCAGTTAATTGATAGATGCTCCTAACTGAAATATGACTACGTTTCGCTTACTGGAATAAAAAGTCTTTTCTACTTGACTAGTTTGATAAAGTAACATGGAATCTATAAATGGTTCCCATATGTTATTTGAGTCATTCCAAGTTTGTATTTGACTTGGCAGGTATTCACAGTGACAAGACAGTTCTTATGTTCTGTTTAGAATAATACATTGATGAAAAGTATTTACCTAAGATGTTAGTCAGTTTTACAGATAAAACTGGTCACCATCCTTAAAAATCTCACCGGTCAATCAATCTATCAAGACCCGCTGCTCGTCATCGCTTCAGATTTCCTATCGCTTTTTTAAATTTTTTAAGGGTTGCAGAATTTACATCGATTTGCCATTCAGGAATGTGGCTGAAGTCCAGTTGAACTACTCGCCAAAATGCTCTGTCCATCGATCCAATCTTCTGGATCGAGAGTGGCAGTACCATCATATTCTCAGAGTCTCCTTAACATATCTAATACTAGTTTCCTTGATTAGTCTGAACAGTTGTTTACTGTTACCTATTGCACCAGAATTTTCCATCTCTTTTATTTTCGCCACCCATCACAATACGTGATCACTGCGTAGGCTGCTCAAAATGTTCAGAGCCAGATAGAATTAGATTTCGAACATCTACTAGTCAGGTGAATGCTACGGAAATCCACTCTTCTTCCGTGAACTTTCTACTTAACTTACTACCAGATATCACAGCTGCTTCTACAGCGTTTTGGATATCTTCCGAGACAGCCTCGGGGTGAAAATCATTTACGTAGCTGCCTATCTGTTTTCCTAATTGCTTCTGAAACATACTCTTGGCTTTGCTATCATGAAGTAGAATTCTCTCAGGTTCCCCCATTATGTATGCTTCTTCTTCAAGTATGATCTGAATCGCGCATACTGTGCTGCATCCGAGAATCTTGCTTTTTCTTTTGTATATTGTTAAGACCTACTGCTGTTGAGGCTGTTGATACACTGGTCTTCATCTCTTGCATTTGTTGAAGCGTGCGGAATAGAAGGGCTAGATCATCTGCGAATTTCAGATAGTTCAGCTGTATCCGAGCTATCCATTGTATTTCACGCTCCACTCAGATCCTGACATCTTCACAGTCGAGTCGACCATCAGGAGATAGAGAAAGGGTGAGAGCGAGCAACCTTGCCTGGTAACAGTCTTTACTTCGAGCGAGTCTGTGAACTACCATCTATTCAGGATCTTATAGTTTAATCCATCATATGAATTCCGTTTAATGTTGCCTCTCGTCTAATAAACGTCATAGTGTCATCCAGTCCAAACTGTTGAACGCTTTTTCATAGTCAATGGAATTGATGTTGAATGGTGAGTTCCATTCATTCGGTTATCCGACAATGATCAGTATTTTCACGTGCGATTTGTTTGGTACACGAATGATCGTTACGGAATCCAGCATACTTATCTCGAATTCGAGCGTCTACAGGATCTTTCATTCAGTTAAACAACACCTGGTTGAAGACTGCCTAGTACTGAAAGAACAGTGATGCCTCTTTAGTTTTCACACTTGCTGCGACCGCTCTTCTTTGTTGTTTTGATCAGGTATCCTTCTTTCCGTCCTGTTAGTAAATGGTCGTCGTGCTCTCATTGCTACAACTCCCACACATTTACATTTGTCAGCTGAGATACTCCTGTTAATTTTCTTGTTTGCTTCTGTGTATTCAGAATGTGCTCTTGTTCGAGCGATATCTATTGCTGCCTTCTCGTCCCCCCTTTCTTGACTCTAATTCAGTGTATCAACAGTGATCCATTCAGTCCGTTCAGTCGGACGGCGCACAAACGACTATCTACAGGGATCCAGTCTAGGTCAGCTAGTTCTGCCCTACAACTCAATGTTATATGTACACCAGCGAGACCCAGGGAAGCAGCATCAGGACTTACATATACACGTAGAGTAAATCTGGCTGCTTCCTTGTTTTGATAAGACGAAATCAAAATGATGATTTCACTAGGATCTTGTGTGCGCGTTTGCAAGACGCAGCATGCATCGGTAGCACGAGATTCTAATGTACTAGCTAAGCAATCCTGTTGCCCTATTTGACAGAATGTCCATACATTAAATGCTCCAACATGTAATTTAGAACGAGGTTTCAGGAGACCAGGAATGAGTAGCTGCTTCTAGTCTCATCGTTCTCCAGTTGACTTGCCTGGCATGGTAAAACATTCAGGAACATATGTTTCAGCCAATATAGCTCGGTTGAGTCCTCACAATAGACAAGCACGTCAAGGTAGCATCTGCAGTCGTGCCAAGCACCTCCAAGATTTATCTTCTCATTTCTGCTGTATTTTGAATAGTTCTCTTGATCTCACTCAATGTACGAACATTTCATGTACTTATAATAATGGTTTCCCTGGTTTTTTAAAAAGAAATCGATCTCGTGATTTCGTAAGGAACTCGGCTTCGTCAGGAAAAGTCATAACTCGTCTATATGAAAACCTTATTACTTCCAGGGCAGGGTTTTAATAGTTTGATTTATATTTTCTGGTCAGCGTATTTTTAGAAAGTTATTTAACTACGGGGTGTGGTAGCTAACCTTATGCTCAACACTCCTCATTTATCTGCGAATGGGACCAGTGATTACCCTAGAAAGTCTTCAGGCAGAGTAAGAGGAGAGTGAGATGTATGGTAAATATATAGACAATAATAAACTAGATAACTCATTTATGGGAAAGTAGTTATTGTATCAGAACCAATTCAACATACTGACTGATGACCACGTTTAAAGTGATTGATTCTGACTATTGAAAATAATCTACTGATAATGGGTAATTTATGAATAATTTCAATCTGAATGCATGTTAAAGAGAAATATGTTGAAATATTTCACAAACGATGTTCAGAATTCATCACTGTAACAAGTTGATAGTGTTCAATAAAGCAGCTATTATTAGGTAGATTTTATCCAAAAAATTCATTTACAATTCATTCCATGAGATCAAAAACGACAACACCAAGTAATAGGAAACTCTTTGATAATTCACTGTAGAAAATGCAGATAAATCACTGGTAAACTTGTGAAGAAAAGCATCATGAAAATCCACTCATTTCATTATCAACTTCTTATCCACTTTTATCTTAACTCATGTTCATGAAATAAGTCATTGTGTGATGTATTTTATCGAATTTCATGTTAATGCATACCTGAACAAAGTAGAAAATATTTCGGTAACACACAATCTCACAACTAATTATAGTAACTTAATCAGCTTTCTCAGTTGTGTTTCATATACATAATTTCGAAATAGAATGTATTTGATTGATATTCGATCGGTTTTTCATAACTTCATTTGGCAAAAATATCAACAACAATGCTAGTTGATAAAAAACCATCCAGTGAAGAATGAAAATCACAAGAATGATGAAATGTCCCTCCTGCTGATGTTATGTCAGATCGCCATACAGAGAAGAAGGACTTGTAGTAATATTAAGTGTTGATGGATTGTGTTTTCTAATGTTTCATGTTTTCATCATGAATGGAAATTGTTGTTGAAGATCTAACAACTAAACTAGTTCAAAATTAGTTTTTGTGCGTAACTACGAATTGGTATCAATATGGATAGTATTATCACGTGAATATTGTCAGTGGTGAGCAAAAGTAGTAGTTAGTTGACTATGCTGACTTGATACGAAGCAAAAAACAACCATTTATTATTCTAATATGGTTGATTAAAATGATTTATAAATAACAAGTGAAATACAATACGTCAAACATATCCATTGTAAAAATACGTTCACTCAATAAATCATAGTTCATTCACTGACGTGTAGTCAAAACTGACATTGATTAGTCACTAACATCCGTTGAAGAACCAGTTAAGTCACTGAAAGTTCAATTGCGTTAACAATGGTAACTATATGTACTGCATGGTACGGAACTTCATGTGTCTGTTGCAATTAATGATCTGAGTTTCTCTGAAGGATATTTCATATATATTCAGTTGTCATCAACGTTTCTTCGAAGTTCGTTTTCAATGTTTTTTCTGTAAAGGTTTAATTTTGAATTTGAAAAAGAAGAGACTTAATTACTTTTTTGATTGATTTTAATACACTACTGATAAATTCTCTCATTCAACAGTAATATCAAAATTATCATGGTTCCTTATTGATATTTATTTGTTGATTATTTATGTGATAATTGTTTGTAGTTATTATTATTTATTATGTTTACTGATTGTTACTAGTTGATATCAATCAAATTAACTTGATCAAACAAAACATTACAGTTGTTGTTGTTGTTGTTGACAATTGATGATATACAATGCACTTGACTGTGAGTTTATTATTATTATTTTTGTTGTCGGAGTTACTAGTGTGAAAGTATAATTGAAGAATTATCATCAAGCATTCAGACTTCTATTTTAGGAATACGTAGAGGCCTAGTTGTTAGAATACTTTTGCTTTTGGAGCAATGTATAGATATATCATGATCCAGTAAGTGACAATCGCATCATATTGGTAGATAAATAATGATTTGGAGGATCCTACTAGCGACGTGGCTACTAGCCATTATGCAGTGGTGTTGCAAATAAGTTTACGACAACAAAAAGGTTTCGGATCCGAAAGTTTGGCACAATCTAGAAAACATGTGTGAGAGGACAGACAAAAACTGAGATGTTCTCGAAATCGCCTTCTAACAAGTACTTTAGATTACAGATAATTGGACTGTCATAGTTATGCCTGATTTCTTTAGGATAACTTTACTTTAAACAATAGGATTAGTTATTATTTCTAAATCATGTGAAACACCATGTTTACAAGTTCTTGTGAGTAATTATTTTCACAGTTTTGTTTTATACCAACACTAAACTACTAAAAATATTAGGATTTCTTTGGTTTTCCGAGAAAAAGATCTGGGGAATAATTTATATAATTGATGTAAATGTGTGGAAACGACTCGAATACTTCGATTTTTCAACATATTCGTAGTTATACAGACTACGATTCGTTGCCGAGTAGATTCATATAGCTTGTGAACTAATCCGTTAACAACCAGTGAACGTCTGATAGTAAGATAGTAGTTTTGTGGAACATTTTGTGGAACTGTTGAAGAGTCCCCTACTTGGACGAAACAGCCTTCCAGTGCTTACAGATTAATGATGATGGTCTAACAATGGTCGAGTCGCCATTCCAATATAAAATAACAATCTCCTTAACTACATGATGAAGAATTTGGCAAGTTCATGTCGATAGTACAATTTTTATAACATGTTCAAGGAATAATACGGTGAATACTACAACTGCATCTCAAACGGTGAACAGGTCTTTCACTTAGTATCTGATGGTTAGAATATTCGGGATAATGTAATCGAAAATGATATGACAGAATAAAATTATATAGTTGTTTTTTTTGGTCTACAGTGATTTTGTTCAGCATTATTTCCGTTTTTAAACTGCGTATGATAATTAAGCAATATGCCACAGATTCGTTAGCTCGATGTAACGCAACTGTAAAATTAAGCATAAATTTTTATATTTTTTAAAATATATAACTATTAATACGAAATAAAATTAAATAAGATGTACAAAATATGACGATTTGTCAGTTATCAATAAGAAAACATAAAAATTTCTCTCACACAATTGAATGTGTAAAGAGTAGGATGTGAACTTGTAGAAATGTCTTGATTTGGGCGAACTGTATTGTCTGTTTCCAATTATTTCTTATTATTAATGAAAAAACAAATGAGTGTAATCAATGTGATAAGTAGTATTTGATGGGTTACACGAGTTTGTACACTTTCATTGCAATAGTCTCTTTGACAGCAGTAATATGAGAGTTGGCCATATATTTTGCTGAAATAATCAAAGCTACATTCTTGAGTACATTTTCTGATAGGTTGATGTCGGTCTGCAACATTAAGCGTCTACAGTAAAAGATAGCAAAATGAAGATAGATATATAAGTCTAGATCAATAAAATAATTGATAAGCTTGTCTTACAAATACAAGTGAATTTATCATGTCAGTAGTTGATTAAATATGGCCTTCATTTTTTACCGGTGTTTTGGTTTCACTTATTATTTCTAAAAAGCTTAATTTTAATGTATTCGCTAGCTACATTCTGATCACAGTACAGTACATCTTATATTTTCAGTCAAAATAGACTTACATCATCACAAGAAAATAAAGTCAACTCAGTTTACAACTTTCGGTGTATACTATTATTTAGAATTGAAAATCTAATACATAGTTGTATTTTCAGAGTAAGGAGGCACTAATGACTGTGAATCATTTTTCTAATCTCATATAATTAGTTTCTTTCAAAAACTTGTATGTCGTAGTTAAAAATCAACTGTGTGAAACAATAGTTCTAACATTGATAGTCATTTGTGTTTCAGGCTGATGTGTATTCAGGTTATTTAATCTACGCTATTTCATGGGCTGATTTACAGAGGATACATCAAACCTCTACACACAAAAGGTTGACTGTCACAGTTGCAGCGTATAAGTGTTTACAAATTAGGGAATTAGGCGATAACAGAAATGTTGTAAGGATATTATTAAATAATCCGTCCTCGAAATATGGATCAACCTCCAGTCATAACACAGAAAACCGATGAAAACCAGTGTGAACTAGATGGTTGCTCTGTTGTGGTAGTGAAAATCGGAATTCGAATCCAGAGAATCGTTGGAAGAGTTTGAAACCAGATGGAGTATATATATTATTCTTAAAAAATATGTACTCAGGACTAAAGAGATCTGCAATTCACATTCTTCAAGAGGGACATCATTAAGTAAAATCATCACTAATTATTTGCTACACAAAGTGAACCACTGTTTCAAGTAATGAAATTAAAGCTCATTTTCTTTCAAGAAGGCAGTATTTTCTGAATTAAAACCCATAAATGACTTACAGCACACCATTTACAGTCACTTTTGATTCCCACTTTTGGAGATGAGGCGTTAAATGGGACTGGACAGTCATCACATGTGTAACAAGTTACAGATATACCTGAAACTAAAAGAAATAAAAATAACAACAACCTCAAGGTAGCAGTTTAGTCCAGATTATCCTAACAATCGGTACCAATCATGATAACATTACCATTTGTCGGAATGCGATCAAACCTAGAATCGTAAACTATTTATTGATCGTTTGTTATCTTAATTCTTCTAGAATTGATGCACTTCGATTAATGCTCACCCTTATGGATGGTTAAAACCGTACATTCAATGAGAAAAATACTTATGTTCTACAGTAGACAGATTTAAACCCGGAAGAGAATATGTCAGTTATCGCCATTATTAACCAATCAAATAGTGGTTTAGGCGCTCATCACGTGATCTGATCTGACATGTCTGTTAACTATCATCTCTGTTGCACATCACCTACCAATTGAAAGACATTATTATCAAATAATACTGATGTGACTCATAATTTTATTGATTTCCATAAGACACGTTCTATTGGTCGATATGTTTGCTCGTCTCACTTAATAGCTGCTAATTCCATAATTATTGTACGGATCTATTTGTTCTTACTTTTAGAAACAGATATAGTTTAAATCCAGGTTGTCCTGGTTCTTCCATAAACCCCGTATTCGCCAGTATCGAGTTTATGATTCTAGCAGGAAATCTGTAGGACAAATTAAATCCTACAAATATTTCGAGACACAAAGTGACCAGTAGATAACTCGATATTCAAAATATCTACAGACTACTTAAGCTACAACATATAATTAATTTATTGACTGACTGATGTACAAAATCAGCATAGAGTAAGACAGTGCAAATCCATAAAAAAATATCAACTGGAACAATCAATAGAAGTGAAATCAAGAACATGAACAAACAAATGGATCATTCTACAACAAATAAAGGATTTATAGGAAATTACAGCACGACTACTGAAACAATCTGGAATAGGTGTGGCATACAAAGCAACAGAATCAATACAATTAATTCTATGCAAAGGCTCGATTGGCCTTCGCCAACTTTCGTCATTTATGGCGTAGTCGAGATATCCGTTTGCTGACTAAAATACAAGTGTACAGAACAGTAGTTCGCTCCGTCCCACTTTACGGCTGTGAAACATGGCCAGTGATAGTAGAAAAAATTCGTAGGTTACTTGTTTTCGATCATAGGTGTCTTCGAAGCATTGCTCTTATATCCTGGAACAACTGGGTCAGCAATGCTGTTATTAGGAAACGGGTGCTAGGTAAGAATGACAGATCAATAGATGAAATATTGAAACTTCATTAGTTGAGGTGGTTGGGATATAAGTTGCGTATGCCTAACGATCGACTGCCTCGTCGAGCTATATTTTGCGGTATAGGGAGATGTTGGACGAATGCTAAGGACGGCCAGACCAAAACATGGCACAAATCCAGGAAGTCACTGACAAGTGGAGTGAGTCATGTCGGTAGGTGTAAACTACCTGGTTGGGGTCGGCGAGATGTTAGTAATCGATGGGTAGAGACCTTGAGTGATATAGATCAAAATCGTATGTGATGGCGCAGGTGCATTCATTTATTGTGTTCTCTCAAATCCTAAACTTTTTAAATCTTCACCAAATTACCCTCATCTTTTTAAGTCTGTTTCACTAGATTCTACTTCTTGAATAATATCTTCGAATCCTAACCTCTCCGACTACTGCTAATACCTCTACTACTATTGGATTTGAATTGACAATTATATCTCTGTGTTAATGTGGTATTGCAACATGAACTGATGTATGTACGTTCGAAGTTCTACGTAGCTATTGATTAATTGATTGATTGACAACAGTGAGGCCGTTACTTGCCGAAATCACTTCGCAATTCTAAAACAACTCAAAACCGAATTTGCAAACCATATAGGTAAAATAGTTCTCCTTTACTTTAAATGGTTCATAGCTTCCAGTTTGGTCTCTGTTTAGTCACAGTTAACTCACCAAACATTTCGAAACAAAGTTGTAAGATTAGTGACCTAATAATCATACAATTCTATATGTTCAAAATATCTGAATACTTTTATTCAACTAATTAACGGTGAAAATATTTAATAATATCAGTGTGTACGGAGCTGATGTGCTGTTGATTATAGCCTATTCGAGTTCAATAGTTCTTGTCAAACAAACTGTTAGTAATAAATAACAGGACAAACTGTTGAATAATTGAAATCATTAGACATGATTGTTTTAAAATCTGTTCGTATTTATTTTAATTAAGTGATTTGGAAAAGAAACATACATATAATGAAATTAAACATTAGGAAAAATGATCTTACTGTAGTTTATATTGATCATAATCAACGAGATCACTATTAAGATCAATGGAATGTACTCCATAGTCATAGCAATATAAACAAAACGTTGACTGCTGGGATTCAAATACAAAGAGCCGCAGTGATCACATACAGTATTTTAGTCAACATTTTATATGACAAGTGTTGTCGTTAAACCCAAGAGTACAATTCGTGAATTAACCAATTGAAAAAAACTTAAAATGTTTATTGGTGATTGTAAAATGTACTACACAGAGAAACTAGACATGTAATGTTGACTATTTAAATATCGATCATAAGATGACACTACTTGAGAAATATAAAGCAATGCAAGTTATTTGGATTGATCGAGCGATCAACTATGAGGAGGTTTTGTTGGTTGTTGATTATTTGTTTACACCAAATGATGTTAAATTTTCATGTGAGATGAAAATACTTTTTCTTAACTACTTTATAATATCATACAGAGAATACGACATGAAATGACGTAGGTGTAAATTCGTATTTTTACATAGTTTTCAAATGTTGAGTAAAGTGCTTCGTGAAGAAATATAAGATCAGTTAATTGATAGGTATTGTTAAATTAAAAATGACTACGTTTAAATTGCTGGAAATAAAATCTTTCATACTTGACTAATTTGATAAAGTAACATGGAATCTATGAATGGGTCCCAAATGTCATTTAAGTCATTTCAAATTTGTATTTGACTTGGCAGGTATTCACAGCGACAAGACAGTTCTTATGTTCTCTTTAGAATAATACATTGATGAAAAGCAATTACAGTTCTGATTATAATGTCTTTATGATTAACACAAACACTCAACAGAATTTACATAATATAGATAAATCTCTGTAGATTCTGTACGCAGTTTGTATTTTTATTTGACAGATTTCCTATAAACATAATTTCACTGATAACTAAATCAACTTTAGAATATCTAATAATAATCAGATACCTATACATCAGTTCACGTTTCCATACCACCTCAGCATGCATATGTCATTGTGAATTCCAAACTCATTGTAGAAGAGGTAGTGGAAGTGGGTGAGGATTTAGGTTCTAGGATATTATCTAAATAGTATAATTAAGTCAAATAAATTTAAAAAGAGAAAGATGAAGGTGATGAGGAATTCAGGAGATTAGAAATCGAGAGAACCCAAATAGTGGATGCACCTGCGCCATTGCAAATTATTTTGAGCAATTTCTTCCAAAGTCTGTAGCCACTAGTTACTATTGTCTCACGCAAGCCAACCTGATAGTCTAGATCTATTAATATAGCTCAGTCCAATCGTCAGTGCCTTCATGGATTTGTGCGATGCTTTTGTTTCGCTGACCGTAGCTTTCTTTAACCTACTCCTACACCACAAAACATAGCTCGTTGAGGCAGTCGTTGGTTGAACATATGTAATAAATATCCCTACTACCTCAACTGATGAGCATCGATAACTACAACTGATCCGCCTTCCTTACCTACTACCCGTTTCATAATTATAACATTGCTAATACAGCAGTCCGAGGATATACAAGCAATGCTTCAAAGACATCTATGGTCCAAAACCAGTAACCTGCGAATATCATTTACTCCTACGGACCATATTTCACACCCATGGAGTAGGACAGAGCCCTTAGTTTACTTCAACCTACTCCTACACCATAAGACATAGCTTGTCGAGGCAGTTGTTGGTTGGTCATACGTTACACATGACCAAACTACCACATCTAATGGAGAAATATAACTGCCCTCCTTACCTGGTAGCCTTTTCCTAACAACAGCTTGTCTACTTGATGGTCCCATGATACACGAGAAATGTTTCGAATATACCTATTGTCGAAAACCATGGAGTAGTAGGGAGACAAATAATGCACATTAGGCTCGTCATTTGATAAACAAAGGCATATCTCGCTGACGCCATAACTCGCACAAGTTGGCGAAAGCTTATAGTGACAATATAGCTCCGCTCTTGTTTAAAAAGCCTTATCACAGGAGATGGAAATCTGTGAGGTAAGGTGAGGTGTGACATTTTTAGGGTCGACGTTTTCTAGTCCCGTCCTTTCTTTCGTGTGAGGAAGCAGCATCGCTACAGATGCTGGTTGTCTGAGGAAAACACCTTACTGCTGTCACAACTCTCTTCAGTCAGAAGTACGACTTTGCACCCAGAACTTGAGTAGCTGGTTTTAGTCCCATCGTTCTCCAATCGACTTGCTTGGCATGGTAGAACCTTCAGGAACATATGCTTCAGCCAATATAGCTCGGTTGAGTCCTCACTGTAGGCAAGCCCGAGCACCACGTCAAGGTAGCTGCTACAGTCGTGCCAAGCACCTCCAGGATTTATCTTCTCATTTCTGCTGTATTTTGAATAGTTCTCTTGATCTCACTCAATGTACGAACATTTCATGTACTTATAATAATGGTTTCTCTGGTTTTTCAAAAGGAAATCGATCTCGTGATTTCCTAACGAACTCGGCTTCGTCAAGAGATCTCATAACTCGTCTGAATGAAAACCTTATAACTTACAGGGCAGAGTTCATATTAGTTAATTTATATTTCCAGGTCAGTGTATTTTTAGCTAACCTTATGCTCAACCCTCCTCATTTATCCGAGTATGCGAGCAGTGGTTACCCTGGGAGATCTTCAGGCAGAGTAAGAGTAGAGTGAGATGTATGGTAACTATATAGACAATAATAAACTAGATAACTCATTTATGGGAAAGTAGTTAATGCATCTGAACCAATTCAACATGCTGACTGATGA